AGCTCAACTGCCCGCCAATAGACGAATGGATACAGAAGATCTGGCGGTATATAAACAATAAAATATTACTCAGCTATAAAAAAGAATGAAATCTTGCCATTTGTGATAACAGGAATGGAACTAGAGGGTATAATGTGTGAGAGGTAAGTCGGAGAAAATACCTTATGATTTTACTTGTATCTAGAATCTAAAAGTCAAAACAAATGAGCGGAAACAGACTCCTAGGTACAAAGAACAAACTGGTGGCTTGCCAGAGGGAAGGGAAATGAGGGGCGGACGGAACTGCTGAACGGGATTGCAGTCACAGGGGCCCCGGGGGGCTATCGGTACAGTACGTGACTCTTGATCTGGGGGGTGTGAATTCAAGCCCCATGTTGAATGTAGAGATTACTTTTTAAAAATCTATTTAAAAACACTTGCAATTATAAAATAAATCACAGGGATAAAAGTACAGCACAGGGAATATAGTCAATACTATTGTAATACATTTGTATGGTGGTGAATTGTAACTACACTTATGGTGAGAATTTTGTAATCTATAAAATTGTTAAATCACTACGTTATAAAACTGAAACTAATATAATATTGTATATCTACTGTACTTCAATTAAATATTTAAAAATTGGGGGTACCTGGGTAGCTCAATCGGTTGAGCATCTGACTTTGGCTCAGGTCATGACCTCATGGTTCATGGGTTCAAGCCCCACCTCAGGTTCTGTGCTGACAGCTCAGAGCCCAGAGCCTGCTTTGGATTCTGTGTCTCATTCTCTCTGCCCCTCCCCAACTCGTGTGTGCGCATGCGCACACGCTCAAAAATAAACAAAAATTTTTTTTTAATTTTAAAGAAAAAAATAATCTCACACTTAATCAAAAAGAATAAAATAATACCTAAAAATAAATTTAACCAAGGAGGTGAAAGAACTGTACTCTGAAAACTAAGAAATAAAATGAAATAAATTGAAGAGGGCACAAAAGATGGAAAAATAAACTATGCTTGTGGATTGGAAAAATTAATATTGTTAAAATGTCCATACCACCCAAAGCAACCTACAGATTCAATGCAATCCCTGTTAAGATAATGGCATTTGTCACAGAATGAGAACAAACAATCCTCTATTCGGGAACCACAAAAGATCACAAATAGCCAAAGAAATCTTGTAAAAGAACAAAACTGGAATCTTGCTCCCCAATTTCAAAGTATACTGCGAAGGTGTGGTAATCAGTACGGGATGGTACTGGCACAAAAAACATACATAGATCAGTGGAACAGGACACTGAGCCCAGAAATAAACCCACACTTACATGGTCAGCTAATCTATGACCAAGGAGGCAGGAGTACCCAATGGGGAAAAGACAGTCTCTTCAAGAAATGGTGTGGAGCAATCTGGACAGCTACATGCAAAAGAATGAAACTGAGCCATGTTCTTACACCATGCACAAAAATAAATTTTAAATGGATTAAAGACCTAAATATAACACCTAAAACCCTAAAAATCCTAGAAGAAAACAGGCAGTAAACTCTTTGATATTAGTCTGAGCAGTATTTTTTTGGATCTGTCTCCTCAGGCAAGGACAACAAAAGCAAAAACAATCAAATCAAACTAAGAAGCTTTTGCACAGCAAAGTAAGCCATCAACGAAACAAAACTGACACTGAATAAGTTATTTGCAAATACTCTTGATAACGGGTTAACATACAAAATATATGAGGAATTAATGGGGGGGGTGCCTGGGTGGCTCAGTCGGTTGGGCGTCTGACTTTGGCTCAGGTCATGATCTCATAGTTCGTGGGTTCAAGACCCGCGTCGGGCTCTGTGCTGACAGCTCAGAGCCTGGAGCCTGCTTCAGATTCTGTGTCTCCCTCTCTCTGCCCCTCCCCCACTCACACTCTCTCTTTCAAAAGTAAATAAACATTCATTTTTTTAAAAAAATTCATAAAACTCAGTATCAAAAAACCAATCCAGTTTTTTTTTTTAAATGGGCAGAAAACCTGAATAGTTTTCCAAGAAGACATACAGATGGCCACCAGACACATGAAAAGCATCTCACCACCAGGAACCATCAGCGAAATGCCAATCCAGACCACAATGAGGCACCTCTTGCACCTGTCAGAATGGTTTTTAAAACCAACAACACAGGAAACAACAGGTGTCGATGAGGATGTGGGAAAAAAGGGAACTTTCTTGCCCTGCTGGTGGGAATGCAAACTGGTGCAGCCACTCTGGAAAACCGTATGGAGCTGCTTCAGTTAAAAACAGGACAGTATGATCCAGCAGTTCCACTTCCAGGTGGAAGTTATCCAAAGCAAATGGAAATAGTCATCTGAAAAGACATTTGCTCCCCTGCGTTGATGGCAGCACTAATTTACACCCGGTGGCGGCCAGAAGGGAGGGGGTGGGGGACAGATGAAATAGGTGGAGGGGAGCAGGACGTACCGTCTTCCAGGCATAAAGGCAGGGGTTGGGACAGCGTGAGGACTACAGTCACCAGCACTGGAACAACCCTGGACAGTGACCGGCGGTAACTAGACCGTAGTTACCAGTTCATGGATTACTTCAGCCTAACAGGCTGAGTTTGATGCTCTGCCTCAGGCTTGTGTGTTAGCCAAGGGCCAGACCACAAACATCTACACCAACGGTCTGCGTAGGGAGCGAGCCCAGGACTTGCGGATGTGCGGGAAGGTTTCCTCACCTCTGACGGGAATAAAACGGAAAATGGCTCTGACGCCCCAGCTGTGTCAGACGCCTCACTGCAGCGGCTCTGTGATGAGCGTGCCTGGGCATCTCAGACTGGACTCTTTGGAGGCAAAGGGAGCCACCTCACTGCTGTTTCCACCAGGACGCTGCTCTCGGAGGAACCAATAACCACACCTCTGTCGCGGTCCAGAGGGCTGTTCCCCCACACGACCACGAAGAAAGATCAACAAGAGATGCCCACCAGTGGGCCGGCCCCGGAGAGGGAAAAACAATATTGGAAGTGTGTGGGTTCAGTGAAAGAGAGAGCTCCAGCTGGGTCCAAATACCAGCCCAGTGCTGCCAGAGCCTCAGACTCCGGTTACCGGCCGCTGTGCCCGCAGTCATCAGTTCGCTGATAAACGGTGAGGCTTTGTGCACTAATGCCCACAGGAGGCCATCAGCAAGGCCGCCGAACGCAGCCCCTCCCACCTGCCCCAGATACAGTCCTGGGAAACCTGTCCACCACGCCCAGTGGACCATTTGGGATTTGGCAGTGGGTTTTGATCAGCTCCCCCCATCTCAGGGATAGAAATATGTTTTAGTTATGGGTTGTATGCTTTCCCACTGGACTGACACTTTCCCTTGTAGACGGGTAACAAGAAAAGTCCTACTAGAAAATTTCATCCCTACCTGGGGAAACCTTGAACTTCAGTCACTGGAGAATCCCCTTCACAGTTCAGGTGACTCAACAGGCCTGTCTGTTGGCCCAGTTCTAAAGCACTGTGCTTACCACCCCCGGCCCTCAGGGCTGGTGACACACATGGCATTGTTAAGACTCAACTGGCAGGGGCACCTGGGGGGCTCAGTCTGTTAAGCACACGACTTGGGCTCAGATCATCATCTCGCGGTTCGTGACTTTGAGCCCCGCGTCTGGCGCTCTGTCAACGTGGAGCCAACTTCAGATCCTCTGTCTCCCTCTTCCTGCCCCTCCCACTCATGCTTGCTCACTCTCTCTCAATAAACACCCATTTAAACAGTTAAAAAAAAAAAAAACTCAACTGGCAACATTTGTGAAGACCCTTCAGCTACCCCAGCTGAAAGCGCTGCTATTGGCCCTTCTAAGTCTCAGCTCCACCCCCTCTGGGGTAGTTACAGGGCAAGGGCCTGCTCCCACCCACAGCTGGTAAGAGCGGATCCCCCAGTACTGTAAAGGCCGATCCCCTACTGAGAACCAGGCCTCATGAGCAGAATGATCTTTCCACAGCGCGCGCCGTGAGATGAAGACAGCAAACATCACAACCTGCAACCAGAAGGTCTCTTCGACCTGGTAGGAAGGGCCCCTGCCAGGTGCTGTCCGCCAGCCCCGCATAATCGTTGTTTCCTGGTGCCTGTCAAACCTTTGTAGAAACAATTTAAGTGATGCCAGCTCACTGCTTCCAGATGATCTCTGACACCAACGACCTCAACAGGATACGGACTTCAGATGGGAAACGCCTGAGTCCTTCCTCCAAACCTTCCTCATTATTCAAATGTGGCCCTAAATGCTTCTCACCGCTATGCACTTTCCCTCCAATGTGGGGCCCACCACCCAGAAAAGGTCTTTCCTGGCACTGAGGGACACAGAGGACACTCTAATAACTTTTGATCAGTGATGGAAAGATTTTCAAAAGAGGGAAATGTGAGCCTGAGTGAAGGCTACCGCAACCACCTGCCCCCCCCCCCTCCCCAAGGAGCCTACCCATTGGACAGCAGCAGGAGGAAGCCCTTCAGGCCGGGTGACAGCCAGCCAGCGAGAAGCACCACCGGTCGTAATCCCTGCTTTCCCCCAGTGGGCGGTCCCTCAGAGCAGCCCCTTCCAACCCCCTCATTTCTCGATTGTGTTCTTTTCCTTTGGTCTCCGGACCTGCCTGCCCGCGGTTGTGCCAGAGCCCGCATACCCCGAAATGCAGTTCCTCTGCCATTCCACAATAAACCCGTTTTTCTGGAAAAATGGCTGGTTGTTGTATTTGCAAGATTAACAGCCATTTGGCATGATGGTGGGGGACTACTGGACAGCCAGCCTCACCAGGTGCCTCTCTCCTGCTGGCTCCTAACCACCGCATCGCCCCAGTTCCAGCCCCCTCCTCATTCTGGGTGTAACTCTGCAGACTGCAATCTTCTGGTGGACCCATTCTACGGGAAGGGCCCAGAAATGCCCTTTGCAGGTGCGCAGAAGGGAGGACTCTGAGGACCACCCCTCACCAATGGAGTGAGGAGGGCACTGGCCGGCTCTCCACACTCAAGCAAAGGCAAAGGGGTGGGGACACAGGAAGCAACTGATAGCAGGTGCAATAAACCCCTTTATTGGGCAAAGCCACCGTACCCTGGGTCTGCAGGGGATGGGGACGAGAAGTGTGGGAAGGGGAGTGGAGATCCTGGAATGTCAAGAGACGCGGGTGCTCAGGCTTCCGCCTCGGCAAAAAGAGGGTTAACGAAGTAGCTGCGGCTGGTGCGGCTGTTTTCCACCTGCAGGGCTGAAGGCTGCGGGGCGCGCAGAGTCAAGGTGCGCCGGCGCCCAGCACGCCCCGGGGAAGACCGCTACCCCCCACGCGCCCCCTCACCAGCTCCACTGAGCCCGCCACGTCGAACACCGGGTTGTTGAAGCCCAGGGGCGTCACGAAAGGCGCTGGGGCCGTTTCGTCGCGCCTATTCCACCTGGGGAACAAGGACGCACATAAACCCTCGCGGTCCCGCTCGGAGACTGAGGCTCCACCCGCCGCGGCCCCACCACCGTCCCGCGTACCTGAACCTCCGAGCGCGGCTCAGCAGCAGCGCCCCCGCCAGCAGCGCCAGCAGCAGCACGAGCAGCCCCGCCGCCACGCCGCCTGCCAACTCGGCGCGCGTTCCCGAACCTTCCAGCCCCGCCGCCGCGCCGTCCCCGACTGGCGCCCCCGACTCCCGGGCCGCCGCGGATAGGACCCCCAGGGCCTCGCCTGCAACGGAGGGCGCCGCTCAGCCTCCGCCAGGCCGGGGCGGGGCAGGGGCCGGGAAGAGGGCACCCGCGGTTACCGTGCTCGGCGACGTCCGCCAGGAGGGCACGTGCCAGCCGCCCCGCATCGCCCGTCCCGTTGGGCCCGGTCTCTGCCAGCACCACCTGAATCTCCGTGTCCGCCTCGGCGCCTGCGGTCTGGCGCGGCACCTTGGACACGGCCACTTGCAGCCCCTGGTACTGGGGCTGGGGCAGCAGACAAGGTTGTGCCAGGGACCGGCGCCCTCAGACCCGCGGGGGCGTCGGCGGCAGGGACAAGGGGTGGGCAGATGCGCGGAGAGTAACCGCGTCAGTGAGGCACACTGTGGCCCCGGGGTCCCTGCGGCGGCGGAGGTCCCCGGGGGGGGCTGCAGGGACCATAGGGACGGGGGGGGGGGGCCATTACCAGGAAGCTTCGCAGCAGCCGCGTCCGGTACCGCTCAATGTCAAAGGTGGGGCCGTGGGTCAGCGACACGATGGCTCCTGCGACAGGAGTGTGGGGGTTGGCGCCGCGGGCCCAGGCCCAGAGGGCGAGCCAGGGTAGCCAGGCCGCCCCTGCGAACACGGGCCGGGAGGGGGCGCTCACCGCAGAGGTCGCAGCACTGCCCCTCGGGCCGGAGAGCGTCGCGGCAGGCGGCCGGGGGACAGCGACCGCCGAGGGGCTGGAGCAGGGCGGCGCAGATCCACGGCTGTACCTGAAGGGGGGGCAGCGGCCGTCGGCACGGGGGGGGGAGGGGGAGACGGCGGCGGCGGGGGGCCAGGCGCCAGCCCCCCCCCCCCGCCCCCCGCGGACCCGGCCGCCCCGCCGCGGGCCGCGCTCACCTCAGCGTTGCCGCAGACGCAGCCCGACGGGTCGGCGCAGGCGTCGGCACCCACGCTCAGAGCGCCCGGCCCGTGGAAGCGCAGGCGGCCGGCGGCGGACGCCAGGAACGCAGCCAGGTCCTCGTCGCGCGTGAACGTCTGCGGGCGGCGCCGGCGAGGAGGGGACAGCGGCTGAGTGCTCGGAACTCGCGCGTGGGGCCCGCGGCGCGCAGAGGAGACCCGGGCCGGCCCGTTGCGCCGCTCACCTGGCCGAGAGCCCAGACGCTGCGGACGCGCGCGGGCCCGGCGCCGGGGCCGAGGCCCACCCGGAACGAGGCGTCGGGCGGGAAGGCGACGTCGTCGTGGCGGCAGGGCACGCGCTCGGCGTCCACGGAGAAGAGGCCGCGCGCCGCGCCCCCGGAGCGCCACAGGCGCGGGTCGTGCCACGAGAAGCGGTCGGGGTCGAGGAAAAGCGCGGGGGCACCTGGGAGGGCGCGCGTCCCTGAGCTCCGCGCGGGGCTCGCCCCGCCCCCAGCAAGCCCCGCCCCGCCCCCGGCCCGCCCCCTCACCTGCGCCGCAGTCGGGGTCCCTGCCTGCGGCTGCGGCGCCGAAGCCGGCTCCCGCGTCCAGGACGAACTCCCCGTCCCGCGGCAGGAGCTGCAGGAAGCGCGGGCTTGGGCGGCGGTCCCGGGTGCCGGCGGGGCGCGTCCCCCCTCCGCGTCCCCGGGGAAGGGAGCTCAGACCCGGCGCCCTCTCCCCGCCGAGGCTCAAATAAGCCAGAGGGAGCGGGACTACGGGCCGAGGAGCAAGACCCAGCCTGAGACCTGGGCGCGTGGAGAGTTTGGGGCAGGATGGCATTCCGGCCACGGCCTCTCCCATCCCCGCACCCGCACCCCCACCCCAGGGGGGAAGCTGCACCGGCCAGGAACCCAAGCCGCAGGGGAGTGTGAAGGCAGCCGGAACTGCGTGAGGGAGGGAGGGGGCTGCACTTGGGGTGCCGGGGCCTCAGCGTGGCCTCTGTCTCCCTTGCGGGCCTGGGCTTCGCCACAGAAGTCGGGCCGCAGCTCGGGCCTCAGGTGTCAGTGGATCTAAGGCAGTGGGAAGGCCAGGTGACAGAGTCGCGGCCATCGTCTCCCGCCGCATCGCCCGCAAGCCCCATGACCCCGGGCCGCCTCCTTCTGACCCTCAGGGCTGGGGTTGGACAGAAGCGCTGGGCCAGGGGAGCTGACTGAGCAGGAACAAGGAGTGGTCCCGCGCCTCCGTGGGCGGCCCTCCGGGGGGGCCTCCAGCGCTACAGCCCTGACCAGGCTGGTGGGGGGAAGGGGGGAGGTCACGGGCAACTGTCCCCACCCCTGAGCCTGCAGCACTAGGACAGGAGGCAGCCCCACCCACAGGTGCTGCAGTGAGCTGTGGGGACAGACAGACGCCTCAGGAACAGGGGACGTGTTAGAGGTGAAGTCTGAACAGGAACTTGTTTTTGAAAAGAACCAGGGCTGTCTGGGTGGCTCTGTTGAGGGTGCGACTTTGGCTCAGGTCATGATCTCACAGTTTGTAAGTCTGAGTCCCAAGTAGGGCTCAGCACAGAGCCAGCTTCAAATGCCAGCTTCAAGTCCTCTGTCTCTTTCTCTCTGCTCATAAAATAAACAAACATTTTAAAAAATCTTTAAGAAAAGAACCAAAGGGGGTTGAATTCAATACTGTTTTGTACCCGGGAAACTAATATAACACTGTATGTAACTATATTGGAATTAAATAAAAGCTTAATAATAATAAAAAAACAAAAAAGAAAATATAAATAAATTACAAAACGCATAATAATAGAAAAGAAGAGCATGACAGGTGAGATAAGCGTGTGGACTGGTGCAGCTGGAGAGGACACAGTGACTGGGGTGTTTCTAATGAGGGGCCCTGCAGGGCAGAGCAGGGAAGGGCAGAGGACAGGGCGAGGAGGGAGAATTGACATCCAAGTGCAGAAATGCAGATATAAAGGGTTGGGGAGGAGGGGAAATAGCTGAAGCCACAAGGAGCATGAATTCTGCAGGTTTGAAGAGAGCCGGGAACTCTCAGAGGAACTCTCAGAGGAAAAGGTCTCCTAGAGCGCGGAATGGGAAACAAGGAAAATCATAACCAGACACGTCAGTGATGCATAGAACATTCTAAAAGCTTCCGAGAGAAAGAACAGATCACCCAGGAAAGAAAAAAAATCAGAAGTCAGGTTCCTCAGCAACAACAATGGAGGCAGAAAGACCGTATAATAATATTTTATGTCCTAAAGGAAAAGAACTTCCCCTATAGAGTTTCATATCCAGCCAAAGTTCCATTCAAATGCAGGAGCATCACAAAAAGATGGGAATGATGGCCGCACAGAGACCTTCCCTGAAAACGAGGAAGTTGGGAGGGAAGAAACAGAGCGGTGGCCACGCACTAACGGACTTACGAGGGTAGACACAGACACCAAAGAGCTTAAGATACAAAAAGGACTGCCAGACGTGAAAACCTGGATGAAATATAACAACTTCTACAAAAATTCAAAATGTCAAAATTGGCACAAGACGTAATAGAGAATCTGAATAGAGCAGCAAGCATTAAAGAAATTAAAATGTTAGTCTAGGGTCTCACTTCCCAGTACAAGTGTTTTTACAGGTGAAGTATAACAAGGAACAACTAACTGATTCCTTCTTACAGACGTCGTTCTGGGAAACGGAAAAAAAGAGTGAAAATTGCCAGCCATTTCATGAGGCTTGTGGAATCTTGATTCCCAAACCGGATGGAGGACAATACCAGAAAAATTGTAGTTTTACTTATAAACGTAGATGCAAAAAAAAAAACAAAAAACAAAAAACAAAAAACCCGGCATAAAGTGTTAGCTGAGTAGATCCAATAGTGTATTTGTCCAAAAGTACATGGTGAGCGCCTGGGGGGCTCAGTCGGTTAAGCGTCTGACTCTTGATTTCAGCTCAGGTCATGACCTCACAGTTCCTGGGTTCGAGCCCCCAACAGCACGCAGCCTGCTTGTGATTCTCTTTCTCTCCCTCTCTGCCCTTCCCCCGTTTGCTCTCTATCTCTCTTTCAAAATAAATGAGAAGAAACTTTTTAGAAGTTTTTTAAAAACCACACGGTGATCATGGGGTTCCGGTCCCAGGACAGCTCCTGGACGCGACTTCCCAGCCATATGTACCGCGGTGTCCCAGCAGGTGGCAGTGAGGGGTCTTGTGCCAACAAAAGCCGTGCATTGTGACGGAGGGAAGCCGATGATCAGCAGTGGCTGCTTTGACCTGCGGCTACTTGTCCCAGGAGGACATCAGTGGTGCAACGGAGCTCGGCCTCAGAAAACCTCATCAACAGGCTAAAAGTAGGGAGGGGGCCACCGTACCTCACTCAGTGTAAAAACAAAAACAACAAAAGAACAGAAGCCCACAAATGTATTTATGATTTTTTAAAAAGCTGCTAGCAAGCTAGTAATAGAATTTCCACAATAAAGTTGATGTACGGAAACCCCGCGGCAAACAGTCACTCAGTGAGAAATGGGACAAGCCTTCTCTTTCACGTGGGAACAAGACACAGATGCCCGCGTTCTGTCACCTCTGTTGAAGGCGGGGGGGAGGTGCTGGACAATGCTACTTGGAAAGAAAAGGAAAGGAAAGGAGTCAGGACTGGAAAGAAAGAGGAGCAACTGTCGGTGTTCATAAAAACTAGCAAGTAGAACGTGTAGTTTTTAAACATAGAGAACCACTCACAATAGCAAACTGTAAAGGCCTGTGGATGAACTGATCCTCCGCGACACCTCTACGGGGACCAACTTTAAAACTCTAATATGGAGTTTACGATGGAGGGCGTGAAATGTTTGCAGGGAAGTGAAGGCGCCTGAGCGGGCAGCTTGACAGTATCGAGCTGGAGTTCACGTCCCGCCCGACTTCCAGGGTCCGCCGCTGCCGCTGTGCCCTGATGAACCCGCGACTTCTCCGCAACATCAGATCCCAAAAAGCTAGTGGGCCTCCCAGCAGAGGAGGGGAGGGTGAGTCACCCCAGGGGCCTCCCAGCAGAGCCACCGTGTGAGGACGCCGGTCCGGAGCAGGGAAGGAGAGCAAAGGGACAGGGAGGGCCAGAGCCCCGGCCCCGGGGAAGGCGGCGAGTGGTGGCAGCAGCGCCGCAGAGCCGGCGGTTGGGAGGCAGGCGGCAGAAACCGGTCTTTACTCTAAGGAGAAAAATAAAGCTGGTTCCCTGGTAGTGTCCCACTCAAACACTTGCCGCCGGTGGCAAGCCTGTGACCTAACACACACGCAGGCGGTTACGGCTGTGACTTGGCAGCGGGGACGGATTCTTTTTTTTTTTTTTTAATTTTTTTTTTTTAATGTTTTATTTATTTCTAGGAGAGAGAGAGAGAGACAGCGTGAGCAGGGGAGGGTCAGAGAGAGAGGGAGTCACAGACTGAAGCAGGCTCCAGGCTCTGAGCTGGCAGTCAGCACAGAGCCCGACGCGGGGCTCGAACCCACGAACCGCGAGATCATGACCTAAGCGAAAGTCGGACGCTTAACCGACTAAGCCACCCAGGTGCCCCGGGGACGGATTCTTAAAACACCAGAAACGCAGGCATCAGGCCGCGGACTCCTCACGGGAGGTTACAGGGCGCGAAGGCACCACAGGCGGGAAGCTGGCAGTGGGGAGGGGCTCGCAGCCGTCCACCCTGACGAAGGACTGATGGACGGAAAATACGAGATTCCTCCAAAGGTAGAAATGGGAGACGAGAGGGGGTTCAGGAGGGAGGAACATCCCGGAGTGGGGGGAGGGGAGCTCCAAAGCTGAGAAAGACAAGTTAAAACACTTGGGCTACATCTGGGCGGCCAGAGAACGCTGAGTGCAGGGGTCATGCAGGAGGGGACCTCCGTGCAGCGGGGGTGGGAGGCGGGCGGGGGCGGCTCTGGGCCCATTTGGCCTGGTCCTGGGACCCTGGACAGTTCCCACCCGGGTCTAGTGGAGGTGGGGCACCCCACCCCCGACCCCCGCTGACCCTGTGCCGGCAGAGGACAAGCTGGGGAGGTGAGGGGGCACCTTCTGGGCCCCCAGGACAGGAGGAGGGGCTCCCATTTGGACAGCGGGGGATGGAAAGAAGGGTGAGAGAGAGGGACCTATTAGGCAACGTATGAATGCCTCCTTTAAGACGCTCAAGCTTCCAAAATAACCAAGTCAGCAGAGAAGGGCCCCCGGCCCCAGGACCCCACCCCAGACGGACGGACCCCTGCCTCCGGATGCCCCTCTCCACTTGCTCCAGGCTGCTGCCTGCCCGGTTGCCACAGTTACACGGGCTGGGGGAGTGGGCGCTGGGTCCAGCTCCTCCCTCCCTGTCTCCACCCCTCCTCCACCTGGCTGCCCCCTTCCGCACCTGAGTCTCTGGGTTGGACAGATGTTGAAAGGTCATCCACACCCCGGATCTGCTGGAACCAGGGACCCCCAGTCTCTGCCCGAGGCCTCCTCCCCAGGCAGGGACAGCTCCGGCTCACAGGCAGGGTAGGGGTCCCTTGCACTGACTTCCCTGCCCCATGAGTGGCCGGGTCCCACAGTTAATGCTGCTTTTAAAAACCATCAATTAACCAAGACACCTCAGGGAGTAGAACTTAGGCGTGAGGTCCCCAGATCCTGTATCTGGGCAAGAGACTGGGTGGGGCCAGGGCCACCGGATGCCCCTCTCCCCAACTCACCCACGCAAAATCCACTGGCCTCCAGGAGAGGCCTCCAACTCTGCCCGTACCCCCCTCCCCGCCCCTCCGCCCCAGCTCCACCTCTGCTCAGAGCCAGCAACTGACACCAGTGACACCTTGCTGGCAGGCCTGGTTTGACAGAACAATGACCCAACCCAGTGAGCAGGGAGCTGGAGGGACCCTGACGGGGCTGGGTCCTGGGAGACGGCACTTTCAATCAGGGAGCAGTGACCTTTTCTGTAAAGGGTTGGACAGTAAATACTTGAAGCTTTGAAGGCCACATGGGCTGCATCATGGCCTCAACTCTGCCTTGTAGCGTGACAGTGGCCGTAGATGCCAGTGACCGAATGGGCAGGGCCGTGTGCTGATGAAGCTTTATTTATGGACACTGAAGTTTGAATTCTATATTTCACGTGCCACAAAAATGTTCATCTTTTGACCTTTTCCCCCAACCATTTAAAAATGTAAAAACCATTGTTCGCTCTAGCCACATGGCTGCATTTGGCTGGTAGCTTGCTGAGCCTGCCTTTAAGAGACAGGCCTTATCAGAGCCTTCAACACATAGCGAAGCTCCAGGCAAATGCAGGTTGCAGCATCTCCCAAACGTACTAGTCAGGGAACCTCTCTTACCCTCCTACCCCCCAGCATTCTCCAGAACTCTAGCGTCCTGGCAAGCAGCATGAGCGAAGGATCCCCTAGGCTTCTGATGGGGTCCAGGCTCCAGGACAGGGAAAGGCTCTGGGGAGGAGGGTTGGGGAAGGGTGTTTCCCAGAGCAAACCTTACAGAAGACAGGCAGCCGGGGGCTGGAGGCCAGGGGCAGAGGGCAGTGGGGACAGGAGCCACCTTCCGAGCCCCTTCCAAAGCTGGGGGACAGCCTGAGCTGGGACCCCAGGACAAGAGCCTGCTCTCCCATACGGTTTCCCCGGCCTCCCAGAAAGCCCTTCCAGAGGCCCAAGGCCTGCACGATTTCCCATTCAGGGGGGGCCCAGTCACAAGACAAGGGGCTTCAGGAGGACCAGGAGGGACCACCAGCCCCCCTCCGACCTGGGTCTCAGCCGCAGCGCCTCCTCACCATGTCCGAGATGCTGTGACCTTCTCGCACCAGGACTGACACTATCTGCAGAAAGAACTGGCGTTGGCTGGCGGACCCCCTTTGCCTCTCCTCAACCCCCCCCCAATGTGAGTCCCCAGCACGAGCCCCGGGTTTGTGGCGGGGGAGTCACCTTGTCCGCGGGGAACACGACGGTGGCGCCCGAGCACGGGGTCCGGTTCTGGCTCCAGTTGGCGGTGACTTCGAAGTTGGTGTTGGGGACCCAGAGTTTGTAGGCCGCACGGGTCATGGCTGGGGAGGGGGTGACTAAGTGCTTCCCGCTCAGACGCCCCACCCCCAGGCAGAAGAAGGTTGGTCACAGAGCCCAGGGCACAGATGGGCTCTCCCTGACAGCCCAGACCCCGCGGGAGCCCTGCCTCGGTGCTCTCTGACGGACTCCTACCAGATCTGCAGCGCCCGCTCCTACGTGCCCTCCTCTGGGACACCCCTAGGTGTCGCCTCCTCGCCCCGCCCCCAGTTTGCTGGTCGTTGCACCAGAGGGCAAGGACGGAGACCACCAGGGGTTGGAGGTGGAGGGGTTAAGAGGCCTCTGCCGGGTAGAAGGTGCTGGAGGGTGGGCCCTGACTGGGATCTGCGTCCTGAGGGAACCGCCAGGGGCTTAAGAGAGGAGGACAGGGGGCGCCTGAGTGGCTCAGTCCCTTAAGCTGCCGACTCTTGATTTGGGCTCAAGTCATGATCTCACGTTAGTGAGTTCAAGCCCTGCCTCAGGCTCTGCGCTGGCCGCTGAGCCTGCTTGGGAATTTCTCTCTCTCTCTGCCCCTCCCCTGCCATATTCTCCCTCCCTCCCCCATCTCTCAAAATAAATAAATTAAAAATAAACTTACAAAAAAGAAAAGAGAGAAAAGGACAGGGACAGAGCCGCGTTGGGGGTCGACATCTGGGACACGCGCAGGCCAGGTGCAAAGGGCAAGGGTCAGGGCGCCCCCGGGGACGGGGAAACTGAGTCAGGCCGCGGAGCCCGCACGCACACGCCTGCCCCCCGCTTACCGCACAGCTGCAGCCACAGCAGCGCCCGGCCCAGCGCGCCCATCACGCCGCTGCCGCCGCTCAGACCCGCAGACTTTGCCCCGCGGGGCCCACCTGACCGGGCGGGGCGGGGCGCGGCCGCCGCGGTTACACATTTACCTCCGGGCCCCTGCAGGAGGCGCAGGTCGGCCTCGCTCCCTCCCCCACACTCAGCCCTGCAGGAAGCCGAGGACCTTGGGGGCCCAGGAAGAGGGCCTTGTCAGCACCCACCTGCTCCATGACAAGGGTGGGGTTGGGGGGCAGCAGTGGCGGGGAACAACCTCTAGGGTCCCCGCTGTCTCAGTCCCTGTGCGGCTGGCCCGCCTGGGGGCTGGGTGTCCGCAGGGTCCGCCTGCCCCCTGGCCTGGAGGCACTGCGGACGGTGGTAGATGGGCTGTGAGTGGCGAGCGTCTAAGAGCGCAGGTGAGTGGCTGGTAGCAGGTGCATGGTGAGGGGTGGAGGGCGTGTGCACTGGTTAGCGAGGAGGGGGAAGGGGAAGGCGGGTGGTGAGTGGATCCACCGATGCACGCTGATTGAGCGCTGGTGGGTGGAGAATGAGTGGCGCACGACTGGGTGGATGTTGCGTGGCACTGGGCGGCGATGGGTGGCTGCTGGGTGTGGGTGCTGGACGGATAGAGGGCGGTGGGTTGTGGGAGGGCGGGCAATGGACGGCGGGTGGTGGTTGGATGAGGAAGAATGAGGGTAAGCGAGGAGGGTAGACAAAAATGGCGCTTGGGTAAATGGATGGAGAATGGGTGAATACCAATTGTAGATATTGGATGGACTCTGTTGACATGAATGGTGGGTGAGAAAGGGTGTTGGCTTTGGGCTGACGAATGGCTGCAGAGGAGACTGGAGGCTGGACCAGTGGATGCTGAGTGGGATTTAGATGGCCTGTGAGTAGCAGGTTAGCGGGGTGGGGGGGGCTGATGGGTGGGTGAGAGCGGGGAGCACGACCAGATGCAAACGGATGGATGGATGGACGGGTGGGCTGATTGTGTAGGGTGTTGGAGGGACGGGCTGGGGTGGACGGTGGTGAAGGGGGGTGGTTTGTGAGGGGTGGGATGGTAGAAGGCAGGTGGGTGGGTGGACGGACTGTGCACAGTAATCTGGATGATGGCCGGGGGGTTACAGGTGGGGCAGATGGTCAATCGATCGTCAGGGATAGGGTGACCCACGGGTGATGGGCGTTGAGCAGATGGCACCTCGCCGGTCACAGCCGATGGCGAGGGGAGGAGTGGTGGGTGGCCAGAGTCCAGGGTGAGCTGCTGCGGGCAGGCGGTGGAGATGGCCGTAGACCTGGGAGACTGGGGAACAAGTTAGCCTTGCCGAGCAACCGGCGGGATCCTGGCATCTGCTCTGGGCGGTGCCAGCCCTGCCCGGAGGCGGTGGCCCCCAGCCCAGCCTGGGATGAGGAGGGGTCTCCCGGGCCCCGGACTTTAGCCTTGTCTACCTGTTGGGCTGACAGAAAGCGCCATCCAGAGAGGAAGCCTTCACGGGGAACAAGGGGGCTTCTGGGGATCATCTCCGTTCTGCCCCTTGTCTCGCTCCTGCTGGGAAGGAGTCCTGTTGACCCGGCCTTCCTGGGGCTCCTCAGAGTGTCTGGCTCTGCTCCCCTCACCTCCTCCCACCACCCTACTTGTGGCTCTCAAGGCAGAGACAGCTTGGAAGTGCTCTCTTCCCAAACTGGGGCTCCCTTCTCCCAACTGAGAAAGTGGACTGCTTCGAGGGCACGGCCAAAGAGAGGCTCTAGAAGGTGGGGGGTCGGGCCTTGGGGAGATGGAACTTCCTGACCACTCCTGCCCCACCTGGAAGGCCATTTCCAGAGACATCGCACTGTGTGCAGAGGGCAGCAAGACTCCCCGGCAGCCAGAGACATCTTCCTGGAAGAGGCGGCATTGAAGCGGAGACATGAAGGATGAGGTCACAGCGTGGAGTGGGCTGAAGGTGGCACAACAGGCGGGTGGGGGCGGGTGGGCCGCGAGGTGCTGTCTCCCCGCCCTGAAAGGGGCGTCCTTGCCAGTGGCTGACGCGGGTCCAGACATCAGAGTGTGACCCGGATGGGGGCCCATGCAGAGGCAGGAGACGGGCACCAGCCCAGGCCCAGAGCTGCCAGGAGTCCCTCCCACCTCAGCAGCGCAGACATGATACAAGAAGTCCTCCATGTGTGCACAGGAGGCCCCGAGCTGCACGCACAGGTGCCCCGGGTTCCCTGGTACACGTGTGGGCACACACTTTGGTCAGGGGCTCTGTGGGAAGTAGCAGAAATGCAAAGACTGAAAGTGAGTTTCTGCCAGCGATCAGGAAATGCCATGAAGTGACTGCTTCAGGCAAGGTTGGATCCAGGGGCTGTCCCAGCTCTTAGTCTCCATCTGTCTGCGGGTCTCAGTCTCACTCTGTCTCGGCTTGGCTGCCTTCGCTGTTGGCTTCCCTCTGTGCAGTCTTCGCGTGGTAGGAAAGGTGGCCCCGGGCAGCTGGACCTCACACCTCTCTGCCTAGGCCACTGGGCAGGGCTCAGTGAGGTCTCTGATTGGCTCCTGTAATGTGCGCCAATCACATGGTACAGGCTTGCTGTGCTCTGATTGGCCATCTCAGCCCCCCTAGTGTGAGAGCATTGTGGGTGACAGCCCTGCCCCCGCCCCGCAGGGGTGGGGGGACAGACCCCTTGTGGTCCCCACGCAGACTGCAGAACCTTGGGAATCACCTGCTTCCCCCGTCCCTCCCTCTCTACCTTCTCTACAACTCTGTGGGGACGGCCCAAGAACAGTCCCCAGCTCCTTCCCCCTCACCTTTGTCCCTGATTTGCTGTGTGACCTCGGGTCGGCTCTTGCACGTCTCTGGGCCTTAGCGTCCCTCTGGAGGGATTGAGGCTCCAGCATGCTTGGTTCTCTTCCTGCGAGGGGAGAGGAGGGGTGAGGGGGGGCGGTGGGAGGATGAGCCGCAGCCCCTCCGGGCAGGTCCTGTCCTCCTCTCCGGAGTCACCCCTCCAGCGAGGCCATCTCCTCCCCACTGCCGCACCCCCAAGAAGTGCCCCGGGGCCCACGCTCCTGGGAGGGGGGTGGCCAACAGTCCCCCCAGGGCAGGTGGTCACACACCCCCCCCCCCCCGCAGTGCTGCACAGACCCCTGCAGACTCGCCCTGGGGCACTCCTCTCCCTCCACCTGTGAGGTCCCTGCCTAACTCCAGATCTCTCTTGGCCCTTCGTCTGTGCACACACCTGCCGCCAGGCCTGTGGCAGGGGCGAGGCGTGGCCTCCCCAATCCGCTGCTGGCTGGGGGGGGCGGTGCATGAGGACAGAGAGGGGGCAGGCCTCTGTGAGGGGGGGTGTGACCCTCCACGCTCTGCTGCCTGGGAGGCCCCAGCACAGGGTGTGCCCCCGCCAGGCCCGTGGCCACCACTGGCTCAGGCCACATGTCCCCCCCATCCCAAGAGTGCTTTCACAGGGGTCTTGTGCTGTCCAGACCCCCTCACGTGCTCAACCCTGCAGGGCACTGGCCCCTGGTCCTCAGACCCGGCTGCCAGCCCAGCCCCCTCACTGCCCGGGGGGCCTCTGAGCTCTGCCTTCCTCCAAGGCCAACCCTGAGGTCCAGGGGTCACTGGGGAGCAAGGCCCGGGCTTGCGGGCTTGGGGACACGCAGAGCTTCCCCTACGCCCCGAGGAACAGGCTGGATGCCTCCGTGCAGCCCCGTGGCACTTAGGGGCACAGCCCAGCCGGCCCTCCACGGTGCCCTTGGCCGCAGGGTCAGGTGAGAACGCCCTCTGCAGACTTCCGTTCCCCGGTGGCCTTGCTGTTTTAACAGATCTCCTTGATTCGGGATCTAGCTTCTGCAGCTGTCCGTTTTCAGGAAACTGGAAACAGCCATTCTTCACAACTCACTGGTCAGGTTCTGGTACCGTCTTGAGGGGCGGTGGGCACGTCCGGGCGCCAACGTGAGCCACAGTCACGGAAGACCAGCAAAGTGCAGGGAGGGCTCCACGGACACACCCCTCTCCCAACCTTGATTTTCTCCCTTAAAACAGATGCTCAGACGGGGCGCCTGGGTGGCTTAGTCGGTTAAGCATCCGACTTTCGCTTAGGTCATGATCTCGCGGTTCGTGGGTTCGAGCCCCGCATCGGGCCCTGTGCTGACAGCCAGCTCAGAGCCTGGAGCCTGTTTCAGTCTGTGACTCCCTCTCTCTCTGACCCTCCCCTGCTCACGCTGTCTCTCTTTCTCTCCTAGAAATAAATAAAACATTAAAAAAAAATTTTTTAAAAACAGATGCTCAGAGACCAGGTGTCTCTGACCAAATGCAGGTGCATGGTGGGGGGGGGCGGGGGGGGCTGCTCAGGCATCTTTCCAGGTTTGGGCCTTGGCTCATGTGGAGCATCCCTGCCTCCACGCAGAGCAACAGCCACGCGGCCAGGCATCAGCACGGGATCCTGGTGGCCCTGCGGAGGTCTTGGTTGGAGGGGTTCAGAACAGAGCGGCCCCACCCATCCCCCTGAGCCCAGGGAGTCAGCCAGGGTCACAAGGAACCACCGGGCCCCTCCTTTCCTGGACCAAGCCTCCCAAGTCGCTGGGAGGGCGGGGTGGCCCCTGGTGCTGACTTGGGGACCAAGGCCAAGGCTGTGGGCCAGTCTGACGTGTAGCTACACTCTTCAGTCCTGGCTGAGGTCTGGGTTCAGGCGGAGGAGCTGCTGCAAGCACCCTGCTTCTCACCACACCCGCCCTCTGCTGCTGGACAGCGGCCCAGATCTGCAGCCACCTCGACTGGTGTCCCCACCGCCGCTCAGGTGCACCCAGCAGGGGGTGCTCTTCTCCCTGGGGTTTATTGCCCATTTCCCTTTGTGTAGGACTCCAGAAAGTTTCCAAAAGGCTGAAAGAATCCAGTTTCTGAAATCCCAGCGGCGTGACCTCTGAAGGAGCTGGAAAACCCCAGGCATACGTGGCCTTGCAGCTGCTGCTCCGTGCCTCGGCGGCCCAGCCCACAGAGCTGTCCACACTGCGTCCCGGGCCAGGAGGGTCAGGGCCATTCTCGGGGGCTCCCACGGTGCCGTTCAGCATCCCTGCTGTGGTTGAGGCCACGATGGGAGCTCAAGGCTAAGTGCCAGAGACATGGATGGGGCACAAGCCCTTCACCACAGGGTGGGGTGAACTGGGAACCCTCCAGGTGGAGGGAGGCTTAGGAAGAGCAGGGGCGGCGGGGGGGGGGGGCCTGGACTCCCCACTGTGTGTCACAAGGCTGAGGGCATGGGGTGGGGAGGACTTCCTGGTGGGCCCCCCAGTTGAGGGAAAGCAGGAGCAATGTGGGCTGAGGGCCTGTGTGGGACCCTGGATGGGGCCGCCTTCCTGCTGCCCAGATTGCTAGTGGCCCAGTGGGACGCAGTGGTGCCGCACGG